GGCGCAGTAAGTAGCCCCCTTCCAAGCTCGCGACCATGCTGATTGTCATCACACGCCCCCGCGCTGCGACCTCTTCCTTGCTTCGCTCAACGAACCACACAAATCACACGAGGGCAATAGCGCTAGGAAATTCCCCCGCATGATTTTGATGCTAGACTCTGTAGGCCTACCACCTCTCTGAGCTACATTTTTGCCCACACCAGGTGACGGCTGGCGGACTGAGAGGGATTGGGGAGGCCCCTGCAGGTCGAGCTTCGTGGACATGTTCGCCCCTTTTGTAAGCTGCAGCGCCCCCCTCGACTCCGTGGGCCTATGCGCTGCAACAAGTGCACGTCGGAGACTGAAGCGAAAAGAAACCCGCTGCGAGCTAACCAGAGAGTCGAAAGAGCCAAGAACAAGGACGGGCGCGCCGACTTCATAAGGCGCGCGAGCTGGTCGGAGCAGAGGCTAGCCCAGCTCCTGCGCCTAGAGGCGCTGCGAATTCTCTATGCCTAGATCGCTAGGCGCTTCACATCTACCCCAGCACGACCAAACCAGGGGGAGGCGCTTTGGTCCGCAGACCATTCGCGAAGCCCCTAGCCGGTAGTGCTGCGTCCCTGGAAGCGGGCTATCAAAGCCAGCGGGCCTGCTACGCTATGTGCGTCTTGCTATTCTTGGCGCAACAGGCAAAGCTTCTACCGGCAAGATTCTCAAAAGAAGTCCCGCACCTTCTAAGCTGTGGCGCTACGCTTTCCCAGGACCTGCCACGCGGCAAGGTGATCGCGCCACCGTAACCCTTCAAGGCCATGGCTGGCCACAAAGACACCCTCGCGGCCTAGCTAACTAAGCAAGGCACGCACGGCGCAGCGCCTGAAGAATAGCCAGAGCGCATCTCTGCCAAGAATTGCGGCCATGTTCCAACCCCTCCACCGCCGGTCGAGCTTTCCCTGTCACATGCACCCGCGGAAGAAAGTGGCGCTGGTTTGATGGTTTGCGCTGTCTCTTGGGCGACGCTGATAGCTGCCACGCTTCTCCGGTGGGTCGCAGAGCTATGGCAAAGTGGATTTGTCTAAGCACAAGAGTGAGTCCGAATTTTGACTCACACAGCAAAAAAAAACACGACGCCGCGGCCCTTTTCAGTCAAGCTTTGGGGCGGGTCCGCGCTCACTCTTTCCCGCCTCCGCCTCCGCGCCCTCGGTTTGTGAAGTTCCACCACCACCACGCGCCGCAGCCGTACTACGTACGTCGGTCCGCAGCACAACCCAAACAACCTGGGGCACCAGAGAGACAAGCAGGGAATCATCGCCCCGCAGAAGGCAGACGCGGGCGAGCATTCGCTGCTCTTGCCCGGGTGCTCGCCTCGAGTCTGTACTGCAGCAGGCGGGCCTAGCAGTGGCCCCAAATCAGAAGACCACACGGGCCCCCCATAGACACGAGCCACCACGCAGACACGCGGCCGGGCGCACTCTTAACACCGTCCAGGGCTGGCAGCGCGCGGCAATCCGTGGCCCGGGCGAGCGGAACCCCGCCAGGCCGTGCATCCAGATAACCTCCCCGGCAAGCCAAGAACGGAGTTCGGGACGAGGGACGTGGACCGCGCCGGCGGGCTTTTCGTGGCAGATTGGTTGTCATGGCGGAGCGCAGGACCCTCCGTTGTATCGCTCTGAGCCCGCCCCGCCTGGCGCTCTGTCCTAAGCCAGGAGCCCTCCCGCGTCCCCACACACATGACAAGACGCAAAGACACCACGCGCAAGCCACCTGCACCCGGCTCCGGTGGCTCTCTCATGCCCCCGCCGCCCGCTAAAAGCGCGCCGGAGCCACTTATGTTTCACCGGCCTATCTGCGTGCAGCCTCACCCAGCGGGCACGCGAGTGACCTTCCCTCGACAAGACAGGCGGCTTCATGGTCGTAACAGGTAAGCCGCGGAGCCTCTGTGCGGCCGCGTCTGCCGTCCCTGTGGGTCCCCTGCATGCCTTGCGCGGCCCCCTTTCTAACCGCGCAAGACCCTCGAGCCAAGCCGACATCCAAACGCGCCGGCTGTGGCAGCTGCGCCGCGCACAGTCTGCGCGCCGTCCCGCTTTCTTTTTGCCAGAGTAAGCGCTGACCTTGGTTTCCCTGCGTCGCAGGCACCTGAGGCGCCGCGTGTATCAAGCCCAACGCGCGTCACGACGCACACCAGAAGCGCCCCTGTGGCCGCCCTAGTAGGCGCAAAGCCTGCGCTGCTTTTGTCGGCCTTTGTCTTATCAGAAGCCCTGCCCTGCGGCCCAATCTCCTGCGCGTCTGTTGCCTTCCTTGCTTGCTCGTGCAGCTGTCGAGCAAATTGCAAAGCGCTAGCGCGATGCATCCGAATCGCGCCGTGGTGCTAGTGCGCGTGGTCAGTGGCCATCAGCTCACATCGCCGACCAGTCCAGCCCACGACGACGACCCCTCTCCCACAGATATTATTTCAATCTCCATCCGAGGGGCGAGTCCCTGTCGTTGGTGTCTGACCAAACTCACTAAGAGGCTAACACCGATAACACCCAGGCACCAACAAGGATCATTCATGTGAATGCCCTCCGCCCCTTTCTTTCCTTTCTTATCGTGCGAGTTGATGCAGATGCGGAGATGGATGCGCGTGGGCACTTAGAAGCGCCTCTCGTCGCGATACCTGTCCAGAGGCATGCGGCCCGTGGAGGACGCGAAGCGGCAGCACAGAAGACTGGACGTAAGCAGAGCCGAGGTAGCTGACAGGCAGCCGGGGCAGCCTCGCTTAGTCAGTCGCACGGGCCGCAGCACTCCAAAGCCCTTCAGCGTGTGACCACTGCAAGAGTGTAGAGCCGCTACAGCTGGCTACACCCAAACCGCCAAGCAGAGTGCTTCAGTAATATGCCTGAGCGTGCGCAGACAGAAACTCGCGAAGCAGACAGAAACCCGGCTGAGCCCGGAGGCCTTGCCGATTCTCTCTAGTCCGAGACCCCCAGCACGACCAAGCCAGGCTCAGACGCTTTCTACAGATCAAGCACGAAGCCCTTGGGGCGAAGGGCTGCCTTTTTGGGACACAGGCAAGAGCCTGCAAGCGAGGCCGCTGGTGTGGCAACCCATGGCAGCACCCCTTGACTCGATCCCCGAAAGAAGTGACCCTAGGCTGTAGCGCTCCCTCATCCCCAGACACGCTGCGCCGGCGCCGAACGTGGCGCCGGAATCACCGTAGCCCTTGACGGCCAGGCCTGGGCACAAGTGGCGAAGGTCTACCTACGGCGCGCATGGCGCAGGGCGTGAGGCAAAACCAAAGCGCACCCATGCCGGCAATGGCGTCCATGCTCCAACCCCTGCAAAGCCAGCCGGGCTTCACCGGTTCACACCGGTGGCACTGCGTGCCATGCTCTGCGCCGTCTCTTGGGGGCCGCTGGATGATGGCTGCCACGTAATAGCGGGCGCACATTTTGTCGATCGGCCGCAGAGCTGAGGTAGATCCATCTAGGCGCAAGAGTCTGAATTTTTCCGCCAAGCTTCGGGGGGCACGCTCGCTCCCTCCAGCCTTCGCGCCCCCGTTTTGTAAGTCTGACTCCATAGCCGCGCGCCGCAGCCGGGCCAAACAACCCAGAGCGCCAGAGAGGCAAACGAGGATCGGTCGCTCCGCGACAGGCAACCCCCGAGCGGGCAGTCGTGGCCCTGTCTGGGTGCCCGTCTCGAGCCTGTGCTGCAGCCACCCATCGCGCGTAACAATAGCCCCAGCGGCCAGCCGCCTCAGCGAGAAGACCACGAGGAGGCCCACCGCTGCATGCCGCCGCGCAAGCATGCGCTCGCCCCTAACACCGTCCAGAGCAGGCAGCAAGCACGCGGCGAGCAGTGGTCCAGACGGCAGAAGCGCCTGCAGGGAGGCATGTTTACGAATTAAATAACCCAGCACGCCAGCGGTGAGGCCCAGGAGATACGTGGACCGCGCCGGCGGTCTTTTCGTGGCGGATTGGTTTCGTTCCCTGTCAGAACGCGGGGCCCCTTCGTTCTATCAATCTACAGCCGTCCGGGCCGGCACTGTCCTGAGGCGTGTTCCTGCACACATGACAGATCGGGCGTCACCGTGCGCCAGCCGCCTGCTCTCGGCTCCGGTGGCCCCCAAGCATTCCCCAAAAGAGCGCGCAGGGGCCCGCCGCCTATGCTGCGCCGGCCTAGCCAAGTGGGGATACAATGGGCCGACGCAGTCCTAGCAGGCCGGCGGCCGCGTGGTCCTAGCAGGTTGGCCGCGGGCGCGGCCGCGTCTGCTTCCCCTGTGAATTGTCCGTCGGCTTTGCCAGCCCCCATTTCTAGCCAAGCGAGACCCTTGAGCCGGGCCGACATCCTCACCCCAGCGTCCCGACTGTGGCAACCTTCTTGCGGCGCGCTTTCTGCGTGTTCTCCCGATCTCTTTTTGCCAGCGTAGGCGCTGGTCTTGGTTTCCCTACGTCGCGGGCCTCACCCTGGGGCGCCGCGCGTATTAACTCGCAAGCCTGTCACGATGCACGCCAGAACTAAGCGACAGTATGGCCGCCCTCCAAGACGCAAAATGCGCACCGATGTTGTCGGCCCTTGTCTTAATATCAGATGCCCTGTCGTGTGTCTGGATCTTTTGCGCGTGGCGCTGTGTGGTTGCCTGTCTTGTTCATCCACGCAGCTGCACATGAAGAGAACTAGCGCGATGCACCCGCGTCGCAACGTGGTGCCCGTGTCCGGGGCCAGTAGCCACCACCTCACGCCGCCAGGCCGTGACCCGTCCACCGATTTTCTCTCTTCCTCCAGGGAGGCCTCTGTCTCTCCTTAGAGCGTTGACCCCGCTAGAGCTTACCAAAAGGTCTACACCCGTAGCACCGAATGTACAAAGGGAGGCCGCCCATCTGAGTGCGCTGCGCTTCCCCTTCTTGTGATACGAGGTGGCACGGACGTGCCTGGGCCTGGGCGTTTCAAAATGCGTCGGGCTTGGTGCTCTCTCAAGGCGGCGCGCCTAGCCTCGCAACGAACACCTGCCCAAGAAGGCGCGAAGGGGCAACGAAATAGACTGGAAACGAGCGGAGCCGAAGCAAGTGGCAGCTGGGGCCGCCTCAATTGTATAACTCGAATAATCTAGAGGGGCGCCAGATCCAGGACGGGATGGCGATGGATCGAATGGGGCGGATGGGCTCCCCATCATTTCCAGTGGGACTGGAAGATTTAGGGCGGTCCACCCGATCCATTCAAGCCCACCCTACGTTCGTTCTCTAAATCATTCTAGTATATGGGTAAGACCCTCCAGGGAATGATCTGCGATAACCGCTGCACGAGTGTAGAGCACAGCGCGCCACATCCATACGCACCACAAGAGCGTCTAGTACCTCACGCGCGCGCCTCCTTAGGTAACTGTGCACGGCGTGCCTGTGGTGCCAATGATTGCGCGAGTGGTGGCCAGTACCTTGCCATAAGCGAGCGTCGCGCCAGCCACTGGGTTAGGTAGATAGCCCGATGACGACGCAGCCCCAGAGACATCGGCGAGTCCCCTTCTGCCGCAGAGAACAACCAGCGCGCAGTTGTCGGCTGTGCTCACGATCTACAACCATCCTGCAGGCCGTGGCGCTAACACGCTCTAACAGGAGGACACAAAGATCCACACCACAGCTCACTAAGCCACTTCGTACGCATTCTGACGTCCATGATTGGGGCTTTTCAGTAGCAGCGACATAAACAAGCGGGCATCTGCGTGCGCATCTGTCCATATCCGACTGCAGCGCTCACTGCTGCGGCAGCTAAACCAAAACAAAGTAGTGGGGGCAGCTGCACCAGAAGTAGGCCGCCCAGCTCAGACGTCCGTAGTGCCTCTTCTCGCAGGAGAATCAGAGATGGAGGGCGGCGGCAGATATAGAAGATGATGCGATGAACTATCAGTCCAAGATGATAGAGAAGCCCTATCCTATGCAACGCCACCTGCGACAGAGCTTTGCCAGTGCCACTGTCTATAGTTATGTCTCCCGCTTGCGCTCTAGTGCGTGTCTTCGTCGTCGCCCGTTGTAAGTATCGTGTGGAGGCATCATAATGAATATGAAGAGGCGCGGTAGGGTGACGTAGTAGAAACTGACGCGGCTGCGCGATTGTCTTCTCACAACGATAGCCCCGCTAGACACGGCGACCCAACCCACGCCGCCCATGGGCTTTCTGAGAGCGAGCAGACCACGCCCCAGGCTGAGAGGTTTGTGTTCGTCTGTGAGGTCCGTCTCCTGCGTTATCATGATGCCGCTAGGGCCAGCCAACACGCGACCAGCGCCAGAATCATGGCGCACGATCATACCATCAGGGCCAACCAGTACGCCGCCAGAATAATGCTGGCGCAGCAGGCAGCCGCCCGAACGAATTAGCACGCGTGGCGCATTATGCCGCCAAAATCATCGCGCAGCATGTCGCTATAAAAATCGCGCAGCATGCCGCGAAAATCGTCGTGCACCATGCTGCCATAATCATCGCGCATCATGCTGCCATAATCATCGCGTTCGCGCACCGCGTCGCTGCAATGATCACCATGGCCATGGCGGCGCACCATGCGACTGTAATAATCATCGCGCACCAGGCTACTATAATCACCATGGCGCACCAAGCCGCGAAAATCCTCGCGCAGCACTCCGCCAGACGCCTCACGCTACTGGGCCGCGGGCAATCACCATCCCCATGCTGCTGGAGTAATTGCCACCACCTGCACCAGCATCATGACACAAGCGCGGCCACCACAACCATCACCACCATGCTCACGTGAGCAATAACATTAGAAGGAAAGTCTCTTTTTACCACATGCTCAGCAGCTTTTGGCTTCCAGCTATCTAGAATAACGGGCTACGCGCGAGAGAAGTGCCAGAATGGTTAAAGGATGAAGGAGAGAGAGATCAAAAGGAGATTAAGAGGAATTATACTAGAATACACTAATTTTAATAGTTAGTAGAAAATAAGTGGTATGAGATAATTGAGGATAATCAAGATACTTATACTATAATTACAACAGTTGTAGTAAGTAGAAAAGTTGTATGAGATTGAGCTTGAGAAGAGCAAAAATATTTTTTTTAGACCTCAAAGCACCTAACTAAGCAGACGATAGATAAAATAACAGTTGTAACTAATTTGCACTACTACTTGAGGCAGCATCCCATTCCCATACAAGAATCCATAGACCTACCTGGAAGGGTGATAACAATGATAATCGTCATGGAGCCAACCTAACTAGGAAAAAACCGAAAAAACAAACAAAGAAGGTATCTACTATAGTGCATTTTTGTTTCATAATTACCACATCATCCTCATCGTCGCAGACAACTGCTTCTACACAGGAGCTCGTGTCCAGGAGACGGCAGACAGGCCTTTCCAATAAGTGACCACTAGCTGTACCGCCATCTGATTTTCCCGCTTCGAGTCCATCTCCAAATATCGTTGTGCAAAGGAGATCTTTGCTGTTTGCTGATGATACTCGTGTTCGAAAGTACCAGAGCACGAGTTTTTTACAGGTTCGTTGATGTTCAACACGTTCTATAATTACTTTGTTCCTCGTTCTACTACTTCCATGATCATGCTCAACCACAAGTTCACGCTCATCTTCAAGTTCATGATGCTCATCTAGTTATGCGAGTACTACGTCGCTTCCGTCGTGTGGTGCTAAACTATCCACTGAACGACCCAATCATGACCCTCCAGAGTCAAATCTGCTTTGTTTAAAGGTGCTGGGAAGGCATCGCGCTGGTCATCATCTGGATCTGCTTTCCTTCACATTTTCTTGGTCCAGATGACTTTGGTCTTGGAGATGCATTGCTTACACTCATAATTTGCTGTCCTGTCGTAGTTGCTGACGTACTCGCACGTTTGACTCGCGACAGTGCTCTCTTCCAACCGTTTGGAGATGTTTTCTCCATGGGCCTAGAGGAGGCATTTGGACTATTGCTTCTACTCCTGTCGGCTTGAGAAGAGGCGCTGGCACTCGGAGGGCTGTTGGTGTTCTTACTTATCCTTTCGGCTACTTGAGAACCGCTAGATTAGAACTAAGAGAGACCCATCTTCACCAGCATCTTCGTCCCCCGTGGTTCGTTGTCCTCTAAAAGCGGGGCCAGGGTGGATGCTGCTGAAGATGGATTTTTTGTAGACTTAACTACAAGAAGATCCACCCACGGACGCTTCCCCAAATGTTGGTCTTTGAACAAAGAAGGAGTCTTGCCTCAGCGTTCTGTCCACACGCATTCTGACATACTTCTTCAAGTCTTTCGACGCTTGGAAAGTCGAATTTGAGTCGAAGACGTCGTTCCGTTAGCGTAACTGCGAGCATGGGGCGTCGTGGAAATGATGGACTTTGGTTCCAATCCGACCACGAAAATGCTAGAAATCAGTGAAGCATTATTGCCTGTCGCGTTCCCGATGTAGGCGTACACGCCATTTGCGATGACCGACATGAACTCAGGGCTGAGGAAGACAGCTTCCGCGTCCACTGGGTTGCCATTGGCATCCAAAGGCACTGTCATGTCCATGAAGATATCCTACGCATTCTGACATACTTCTTCAAGCCTTTCGCCACTTGGCGTTGAAGAGTCTCCCGCTTGCTCCGGTTCCCTACTGACGTTGCACCAAATAGGCCACACCAAACACGACAAAAGAGTCTTGGCAACTCTGCCCCTCTTAATCCGGGTAGTAAATCCGTTGCGATTAAGTTGTGGGCACGTCGTTCTATATTGCCAATCGTTCGGGAAACGTCACGGCCGTCAAGAGTAAACCCATAACATCGTGACTGTCAAAGGCACGGCACAGCCTGTCACTTTTAGACCTCACTACTCAACACTTTCACCAATATAATGGCGCTAAGTCAGCTAAGAACTGCACAAAAACGGCCACTATTGTCGCCTCCTCGTCCTGGAAGTGCTCCGCTTAGCGGCTTTTGCAACTTGCTTCCTCTTGGTTTTTCTGTCTTTTGGTTTCGTTTCATGTGATTCCCCGCGCCCCTCCAGAGTCCACCGCACCAGCCTGCAAATGTATGCTGGGGGATTCTGGAGGGGCGCGGGGATTTGGAGGGCGCCCGAGGTTCTTGGCTCGCAATTGGGTGAGGGTTTTCCAGAAGGGAGCGCAGTAGGCGGCGAGTGTTCTGCGGATTCGTATCATGCCCGAGAAGATTGAATTTTGTCCGGATTTTTGCAGTCCTTAGTTGAATTTTCTCCATTCTAACTCCACTTGTCTGTGGTCGAATTTTTCGCCATAATCGGAAAGGTTTGAGACACTCCGCCCGAGGTTCTTCGTTCTTGGGTCTTTTCATGTTGTTAAGTGTTGGACTTTTGACCACCCGGCGCCCCGAAGCTCTCGCGCCGGGTGGGATTAGTTACAAAGAGAAGCGACGCGCTGCCGCCTTCAAATGGTCAGACCACTCACGCGCGCCGCCGTTTGTGCGCAGATTGTCGGGGGGGTTTGCTGGCGTTGTTCGCACTCTTTTGAAGTATTTCAGCGGGGAAGTTTGCGGGGGTTTCGCCAGAATTGAATAAACCTCTCTATTGTTTGCCGCTTTCCTGCTCGCTAGGCCATTTTTGATGAAAAAAGTGAAAAGATGTCTTCAGATTTTTTTCCAAAAATGGCCTTGCGAGCAGGAAAGCGGCAAACAATAGAGAGGTTTATTCAATTTCGTGGCATTTCTCAAGAAGGGCTGGACCGGTTGCCGCTTGAGTTCCAAAGGGCTCGCGCCTCCTCTTTTTGTTAAGTTTCGATGGTGTGGCGTGCTCGCTGTGCCTCTGGTGCTTCCGCAGATGGCTGATTAGAATGGCGCTAAGTCAACTAAGAACTGCACAAAAACGGTCACTATTGTCGCCTCCTCGTCCTGGAAGTGCTCCGCTTAGCGGCTTTTGCAACTTGCTTCCTCTTGGTTTTTCTGTCTTTTGGTTTCGTTTCATGTGATTCCCCGCGCCCCTCCAGAGTCCACCGCACCAGCCTGCAAATGTATGCTGGGGGATTCTGGAGGGGCGCGGGGATTTGGAGGGCGCCCGAGGTTCTTGGCTCGCAATTGGGTGAGGGTTTTCCAGAAGGGAGCGCAGTAGGCGGCGAGTGTTCTGCGGATTCGTATCATGCCCGAGAAGATTGAATTTTGTCCGGATTTTTGCAGTCCTTAGTTGAATTTTCTCCATTCTAACTCCACTTGTCTGTGGTCGAATTTTTCGCCATAATCGGAAAGGTTTGAGACACTCCGCCCGAGGTTCTTCGTTCTTGGGTCTTTTCATGTTGTTAAGTGTTGGACTTTTGACCACCCGGCGCCCCGAAGCTCTCGCGCCGGGTGGGATTAGTTACAAAGAGAAGCGACGCGCTGCCGCCTTCAAATGGTCAGACCACTCACGCGCGCCGCCGTTTGTGCGCAGATTGTCGGGGGGGTTTGCTGGCGTTGTTCGCACTCTTTTGAAGTATTTCAGCGGGGAAGTTTGCGGGGGTTTCGCCAGAATTGAATAAACCTCTCTATTGTTTGCCGCTTTCCTGCTCGCTAGGCCATTTTTGATGAAAAAAGTGAAAAGATGTCTTCAGATTTTTTTCCAAAAATGGCCTTGCGAGCAGGAAAGCGGCAAACAATAGAGAGGTTTATTCAATTTCGTGGCATTTCTCAAGAAGGGCTGGACCGGTTGCCGCTTGAGTTCCAAAGGGCTCGCGCCTCCTCTTTTTGTTAAGTTTCGATGGTGTGGCGTGCTCGCTGTGCCTCTGGTGCTTCCGCAGATGGCTGATTAGAATGGCGCTAAGTCAACTAAGAACTGCACAAAAACGGTCACTATTGTCGCCTCCTCGTCCTGGAAGTGCTCCGCTTAGCGGCTTTTGCAACTTGCTTCCTCTTGGTTTTTCTGTCTTTTGGTTTCGTTTCATGTGATTCCCCGCGCCCCTCCAGAGTCCACCGCACCAGCCTGCAAATGTATGCTGGGGGATTCTGGAGGGGCGCGGGGATTTGGAGGGCGCCCGAGGTTCTTGGCTCGCAATTGGGTGAGGGTTTTCCAGAAGGGAGCGCAGTAGGCGGCGAGTGTTCTGCGGATTCGTATCATGCCCGAGAAGATTGAATTTTGTCCGGATTTTTGCAGTCCTTAGTTGAATTTTCTCCATTCTAACTCCACTTGTCTGTGGTCGAATTTTTCGCCATAATCGGAAAGGTTTGAGACACTCCGCCCGAGGTTCTTCGTTCTTGGGTCTTTTCATGTTGTTAAGTGTTGGACTTTTGACCACCCGGCGCCCCGAAGCTCTCGCGCCGGGTGGGATTAGTTACAAAGAGAAGCGACGCGCTGCCGCCTTCAAATGGTCAGACCACTCACGCGCGCCGCCGTTTGTGCGCAGATTGTCGGGGGGGTTTGCTGGCGTTGTTCGCACTCTTTTGAAGTATTTCAGCGGGGAAGTTTGCGGGGGTTTCGCCAGAATTGAATAAACCTCTCTATTGTTTGCCGCTTTCCTGCTCGCTAGGCCATTTTTGATGAAAAAAGTGAAAAGATGTCTTCAGATTTTTTTCCAAAAATGGCCTTGCGAGCAGGAAAGCGGCAAACAATAGAGAGGTTTATTCAATTTCGTGGCATTTCTCAAGAAGGGCTGGACCGGTTGCCGCTTGAGTTCCAAAGGGCTCGCGCCTCCTCTTTTTGTTAAGTTTCGATGGTGTGGCGTGCTCGCTGTGCCTCTGGTGCTTCCGCAGATGGCTGATTAGAATGGCGCTAAGTCAACTAAGAACTGCACAAAAACGGTCACTATTGTCGCCTCCTCGTCCTGGAAGTGCTCCGCTTAGCGGCTTTTGCAACTTGCTTCCTCTTGGTTTTTCTGTCTTTTGGTTTCGTTTCATGTGATTCCCCGCGCCCCTCCAGAGTCCACCGCACCAGCCTGCAAATGTATGCTGGGGGATTCTGGAGGGGCGCGGGGATTTGGAGCGCGCCCGAGGTTCTTGGCTCGCAATTGGGTGAGGGTTTTCCAGAAGGGAGCGCAGTAGGCGGCGAGTGTTCTGCGGATTCATATCATGCCCGAGAAGATTGAACTTTGTCCGGATTTTTGCAGTCCTTAGTTGAATTTTCTCCAGTGCATCCCTATAATTGCATTCACCCTGCCGAAAAAGCATCTCTCGCTTGCATTTTTTCCCTTAAGTGTATGGTTTGACAATTACTACTCTTGAAAAAAGGAGAAGTCCACAGAGAAAGATGCCCCTTGAGTCTTGAGACATCAACGGGTTCGGCGAGAGATAGGTGCCAGAACGGTTAAATTACTGTAATACACTCACGTAGTGGGAAGCGCCTCTGGTGATGTCGTGGGGAGGATAATGAGCGTCACGACCTTTCTGATTTTTAGAGGAATACCCGAAGATGAACGAAAGCAGAAGAGGAAGAACTGAAATGCCTCTCAGCGGATCAAGATGTCTTGAGTAAATATATCAGAAACGATTTGAAAGTACAACTGGTGCTAGTTGTACTCGTCGTACTCTAACTTGCAAATTTCTACGACCCTGAAGGTAGTCCTACCCAACTTTTCAGTAGAGGACGAAATGCGTACGCAGATGCGTAATAAGATGGTCCATAATTATATTGTCTCTCGTCCCGCTCAAAAGCAGCATGCAAGAGACGAGGGAGCTTGTGTCGAGGACGTTGGCTTCCGTCCAGTATGTAACGAACCCCAGTTTCGATGCCTTCCGCAGTTAGTAAGTTCAACAACACATAGCAGCCCTCCAAGCCGATGCTCTGCTGGGGTACAAGTTGCGCCATTTTGGGGGACAGTGCTTGCTTTGGGGTACATCAAGTAGCTGCTGACATTCTTTCCTTATGTTCTTCGCTTAACTTTATCTTCTTGTGTCAAATATGATGCTGTCTGTGCATTCAATGATCGAAGAAGTTTTCCCTGAGGAGTCCTTAATTTCGTGACATTTCTTCTTGTACTGGGAGGGAAAAGCGCAAAAGAGCGCACAACTACGCTAATCACCTAGAGGCGCAGATGCCTGAGTTTTCCATCGTATTACTTCCAGAGGATCAAAGGGAAGGCATCAGGAAAAAAGATGGGCAAGGGTATCGCTCAGAAAACAAAGATGGAGAAGAGCCGGGCCGAACAGAGATTCTGGAGGTTCAGGAATGACCAACTCGGAACCCCCTGCGTGATCATCTTTCACAGTACTTCTTACGGCCCACGTCGCCCAGACAAAACAGCAGTAAGCGTTTACTTCGTCGTCAGTCTTCTTGTCTTCGTCACTGGTTCTTGGACTATTGTACTGATGGACTGATGTGCCTGATTGATTGTTTGGCTGTACAAAATCAGATGGAAAAGCGCGCGTCTTCTCATTCAATATCAATGCTTTAATTTCTAATATATAAAAGTAATGATTGGCTTTAGATCCAATCTTCAAAGGCTTCATATGATTGTACTACGAAAACGATTCATCCTTTAGTGAACATACATGAAGGAAAAAGACAAGACGCAAATAAATTATACGCGAAGATCGAATCAGCCAAGCTAAATCACCAAACAGCATTACTGGTCTAATCGATTGGCTAAGGGCATCCCCGCAGAAATGACGACGCTGACAGGGTACAAGCAAAGGGACTATTTAGTACTTCGCCACTCAGTTTATTAGTGAGAGATAGATCTGATATTTATGGTGTACAAATATAAAAATCAAGATGGACGACAAAAAAATAGAAGGTCAGGACTCCTGTAGTTCGAGTTGGGATAAAGGTCCATCAGTTGAAAACGGAAGCTACGTCTAAATTTACGAGTGGTCGGCCGTGTCGTTCGCCCCTGGTGGAATAAGCTAACAAGTAAAAACGTTTAAAAGCTTTGGACAGGTGGGCCCCATTGTGGTAGGTGGGTACCTAGATGCGCCGCCCGGCCGATAAATGCAGTAGACCTGTCGGCAGGTGCTGAGCTCGTGGACATGTGGACGGGTTGGTCTGTCGATCAGTGGACCTGTTCGTTGACGGTTGGACCTATAGGCGGCGGGGCCGACATGTGAACAGCACACTGGTGGACCAGGATCTGTGAACACACAGGTGCACCTGAGGGCACACCGACTAACCTGGGGACCCACAGGCGGAGTTGTGGGCGCACAGGTGGCCTCATGCATACACAGGCAGACCCATGCATGGGCACACAGACGCACAGACGGACCGGCGAACAGGTGGAGCCGTGGGCAGGTGGACCCATGGATAGGTGTGGACAGGTGGGCCGATTGATGGGCGGACCCGTGGGCAGGCGGCTGCGGACAGGTGGACCCAACATGGACGAGTGGGCCCATGGACAGGTGGGGCGGACGTTGTGTCTGCTGTGCAAGGTGTGTGCCGTGGGTGTTGTTGGTGGGTGTCGTCGGTGCTGTGGGTGCCGTCGGTGCTGTGGGTGTCGTCGGTGCGGGGTGCGTGACGGGGTCACGCGAGTAATGTATAAGAAAACAAACGCCGCAAGTAGTAGGCTATCAGCTGACTCAGCTAGTTACGCCCGGGGCTTCTCGTGGTGATTGATTCAAGCAAGTGACTCAAGAGGCCTCCGCAAAGCATTTCATTGTATGGAGCGCGATGGCGATCCAGGCGCGTGCCAATTTAGTGGATGCATGTCCCTCGAAATCTCCGTGGTGTTTCATGTTTGTTTCTCGTCCTCACTCGTTAGCGAACAGAATACGAGGGAAAAGCATGCCTGAGTATACATTCACGGCCATACAGTGCTGCGCCTGCGTGTGTGTCTGTGTGTGTGTCTGTGTGTGTGTCTGTGTGTGTGTCTGTGTGTGTGTCTGTGTGTGTGTCTGTGTGTGTGT